TGTCTAACTGGGAAGGGGGTTTCTGTCTAGTTCTGTCTAACTGGGAAAGGGGTGATACTGTTTAAGTGATGGAACAGGGAAGCGGCTGGGGAAACTGGGGAGAGAAGGGTCGTAAACTTATTTTAAGTGTTGAGAAAGAGGGAGGAAAGTGTTACATTTCATCAAGAATTCTGTTTGTTTATTAATCATTATTTCAAGGGTTTTTTTCCCTTGAAAAGTAATTGATCAGTATTTCTACTTAAATTCATTGTTTACTCAAATTTACAGCAACAACATGTCTCACTTTGGGTTTCAGGTAGATAATAATGAGAAAGGAAATTTCATTTTCTGTTAGGCCCTCTGTTGGTAGTTGCCCTTACTACATCGTCTTCAAGAAAACCCAGAATATCTTTAGCTTTTTAAAAACAGACCCCAAACCAGATTCTACACTAATTCGTGAATGTATCCAAACTCATTTTACCCCGTTGAGACTGTTAACTACAGTTCTTAGGATGAATAACTTCTCCATGTTATTGCAAGACCACCTATATAATTCGCAGGGCCACGTACAAAATGAAAATGTGGGGTGCCTTGTTCATAAGTTATCAAGAATATCAGGGCACCTGGCTGGCCCAGTCAGTGGAGCATGTGACTCTTGATCTCAGGGTTGTAAGTTCGAGCCCTTTGTTGGGTGTAGAGATTATTTAAAAATAAAATCTTTAAAAAAAAAAATTCAAGGGCGCCTAGGTGGCTCAGTCTGTTAAGTGTCTACCTTCAGCTCAGGTCATGATCCCAGGGTCCTGGGATTGAGTCCCGCGTGGGGCTCCGTGCTCCGCAGGGAGCCTGCTTCTCCCTCTGCCCCTCACCCCGCTCATGTTCTCTCAATCTCGCTCTCTCTCTCTCTCAAATAAATAAATAAAATCTTAAAAAAAAAATTCAAGACCTCAACAACACAGCATTGAAGCAAGCACAGGCCCTTCTAAGCATAGAAGAACCCTGTGCAAGTGCATAGCATGGACATCTATGAAGCTGGCTCAAGTTCTTTGTTAAAGAAATAATTCCCTCCATTTGGCTTCTCACTAGCCCTCTAAGACTTTGAGACTATCTCCTTAGTTCCTGTACACCAGGATTTGGTGAATATAATTCCTACCCACATGCATCATGAATCTATTTATCTGTCAGTAGCTTCTCTCAATTGTTCGCATTTTTACAAGCCAAAAAGTCTGCTTCCTATTCAGGCTGCTTGGTCACCGTGATGCTTTTCTTTCTCAACCCCAAACCTCTTCCAGTTTCATTTGTCTTTTCATGCTTGCTTTTTGTTGTTGTGTTAGTGCAATACCCAGAACTGCATCCTTTTAGATTTAACACTAAGAGTAAAATAATTTAATTCCATATTCATCCTAATAATTTATATTACTGGCCTCTTTCAAGTCAGCAAATACTAATTAAGCATTTTCTAAGTACAGAGCAAAAAACAAATGAGACACAGGCTCTGCCCTCACAGATTTTAAATTCTAACAGGATTGATCCTGATTCCAGACCGCCTGCCTTTCACGTATTTTTCCTAAGAGCTCAAAGTCCATTGTTTTAGTAACATAGTTTCTTTTTCTTTTTAAAATTTAACTCAAATAAATTATATGCTAATTGTCTGAAAGTCTGTGCATTAAAAATAATGTGGATATGTGACATTTTGATATGGTAGTTTTGAGGGAGCTCTTTTTAGGGTCATTTAGATGTAGCTTATATAGAAACCATTAAGTATACAAGTAATGTGCAAGCCAGACCTTCTTACCCTCTCACTGATCTTCCCACCACTGGGGTGTGAATCCTGAATTAGGTGGGGGTCAGGAAAGAGTTGGGGGTGAGAGATGAAACCAAGGTGTAGAATGAAATAAGGGTGAGGGATGGAAGTACAGTTGGGTATGTCTGCTGGAGGAAATACTTAGTAATAACCAGTAGTAATTCTGCTTTTGTGAAACAGAATTAAAATGAATTGCTTTATTTCAGTGAATACCACCATCTCCAGATGGTTTTCAGAATGTTAAATAAAACTAGTTTCAGCATATATCCCTCAGGCGTACTTCTATTAACATTTCTCATCAAAAGAAATGTTGATTTATTTCTGTTTTCTGTCTCTATTATCCATGGAAAAGTCATCCCATAATTTATCTGCTCCATTTGATGGTACTAGATGATACTAGAATCAAGTGTGAGAATCCTCTCTACCCACTTATTCAAACCATCACCCAGTTCTTTAGATTCTTGCTTCACAAGATTACCTTCCTCGAGTATTATTGTGATCTGATCATTTCTCTTGCCAAAAGCCCAGAATCGCTTCTGCTTGCTTCTCGGGTCAAAGTAAAATTATTGATTAGAACTTGAGTCCTGTAACAGTACTTGACTTACTGAGTTCTCATAACTAATTTCCTGATCCACCACTCAACCACAATTTGTACTTTATGCTCAGGCCAGGGAAATTTATTTTACCTTCCGCTTGACACCCTTCATTGTCTTTCACTGAATCACCACATATGCTATTCTTTTCATTTGACCCATTGCAACTCAATTAGGTCTCTCTTAAATTTTCGGGTCTTGCTAAAGTCTTAGTGAAGCTGTACCAAAGCAGTTGTGATCCTTTGTCATGGTATTAACTGAAAGAACAAAAACAAATCATTTAGTTTCTCGGAGGCTCAGTTACTTCATCTGTAGAAAGGGAATATTATCTATCTCTTGGGATTTTGTAAGGATTAAATAAAATAATAAATATGTAACAATACATCTTTGCACAGCAGCCATGCTAACCTTCTCTGTATCATTCCAGTTTTCACCTATGTGCTGCCGAAGCCAGCACTGTAACAATACATCTGTTTATCTAATAAAATAGGGCGCCTGGCACTACTGACCCTGTCACATAGGAGGTACTCACGGAATATTAACTCCTTTCATTTTCGTTCCTATCATCTTTATTTTTCTTAATGTTCCTGAACACCTAGTTCTTATCTATATATCTGAGGATGAATATCATATAGCTTAGTATTGGCTAGGCCCTTCTTTTACTTTGTAAGTTATTAGAGATTAGGAGTCTTTTTTTTCCTCTTCTCTTGTTTCAAAATTTCACATAGTGGGCATTTGAATTAACGTTACCCCTTTTGTTAATTGACAAAGCCTTAACTTGTATTCCTTATAAGTAATTATTAGTATTCCTTAAGATGCTTCATTTTGGTTAGACGTATTTGGATGTTTTTAGGTTAGTGGGGTTTATGGACGTAATCTCAATTTTGAAATGACAACACTAATATTTCAGTCATTGTACTTTGTACCTATCATCCGTACCTATCATTCCAACACGTCATTTTCTTATCTATGAACTTTCTTCTATCGTCAGGATCTAATTCTGTCTGCAAAAACTATTTGTAAACATGTATGGTTTTTCAGTAATTGCCTAGATCACTGTATCATCTACGTCTGGTGCTTAGTGGATATCATATGCCTAATATACCACTCCTTTTGATTCTAAAACAAATTACTTCACATTTTAACACTTCTGTACATAAGATATACATAAATACCACAATTGATGGTATTTTAAAACACCTCTCTTAGCACATACAATAATGATGTCTGTTATAACCAGTGGCATTTTAGGTTTGATGAAATGTTGTAGATCCTCAGTAAAGACTAGATACCATGAATTGAAGTCATACTTGGTCCTGCTATATGCCCATCAGCTACTAAAGTGTGTAGTACTCCTGTAACCGAAGAAACCAGTTCATTCTCAATTTGGTTTTCCCCTTCAAAGGTAAAAATTTTCAAAATTTTCAGAATTTTCCATCTGTAACATACACCATTTGTCTTGACTTTTTCTTTCCTTTCTTCATTTGCCATGTTAGCTATCAATAAGACCATGTTCACCTTCCTCGGTATTTTCATAACCACATGGATACAGACAGGAATTTCCTAGGAATTTTGTTTAGTGTGTTAATATCAGCCAGGCTATGGCGTTTGCTCTGTCCTGGGTGTGGTGAAGGCTCATTAATGATGGTGCCTCCTAAAAGAACAATTTCCCTGTCTTTTCTGGGACCCAGTTCCAGTTTCTCTTAATGTCTCAAAAAAAACTAGTGATCTCTATAAAATCACTGGCCTCTTCAAAATCAAATGGATATGATGTAACCTAGTGAAAAGAGCTTATAGTATAGAGTCAGACAGATGTGGATTTGAATCTTAGCCCTACCATTTACATGTTCCAAGAGTGACCTTCACTAAATTCTCTTACTCACTACTCTAGGCTCCTGCTACTGGTGCTGTTAGCCACCATTACTGTGTTCACTGTGAGGAGCTGGTCCAGACAAGCCTCCAAAATCTAGCCTAGTCCTGCCATGCAACTAAAATGCTGCCACCCAACGGAAATGGTGCATCTTCTAAGAATTCGAGTGTCTTAGAGAAGAACAAGATGAAAGTAAAAAGATCATAAAGATGATATATCCATTTGCCTTTTTAAGAAAACATTACAAACTCTCTTAAGGGCCATAATAGCTTTGAGTTGAATTCCTATAAGGGAATATAAATAATCAGATGAATTCTTATTTTTTTCTTTATTGAAAAAAGGAAATATTTATTCTTAATCATTTTTTTTTTTTTTTGCTTTAGAATGTAATTAAAAGGCAGTGAGGCTGGCCTTGATACAAAGTGCACAGATGCAGTTCTACAGAAAATGTGTCTTTGGCAGATGAGATTCTTCCTGTGAATGTTCTCTTTATTGCTACCATAAATATTCTATTGTCAAAACATGACTTGCTGTTTATTAGTAGCACTGACAGGAAGATTCCTATTAATGGCAGCATTCTTATTACCCATAGACCCTGTCACTTTTAACTTTGCAATTCCAAGAGAATTGTGTTTGGTGTTTACTTAAGATATTTCTTAGTTTATTGATCCCCACCCCTGTTTAAATGAGTGAAGGTTGAGTGGCAGTTCTTCTGCTCAGTGGTTTATACTGGGGAAAAAAATCATCAAATCTCATCTTTGTACGCAGGGAAAAACCTCCCGCCTTTCAGCCCTGATCTTGTTCCCCTTCAGCCTGCCAGAAAAACACAGTGCATTGAGCACCCACTGAGAGCATGTGCATGAGCAAAATGCATAGGTGTGGCCCCTGCCCTTAGAAAGCTTACAGCCTTAATATGGGGGTGAGCCAAATACACATGCTTAACATGCAACTGGAATTGTTGCTTTAGAGTCAGAGGGACTTGAATCTGAATTATACTGCTTGTCTTTTGGAAAGTTTTATTGAATTTGTTTGAATTTGTTTCCTCATCAGAAAAACAGAAGTGATACTGCCTATCCCCTGGGCTTGTGAGAATTAACCCTGCAAGTAGCAAACATCTGTACATGTTAATTCTCTGCATCTTTGTGTCTTCCTCCCTGACTTATAATTGGCAAAGACATTTGCTTCATCTGATCCTCACAACAATCCTGTAAGATAGTTTGGGTATCACCCTCATTTGTTGGAGAGGGAAACTAAGGCCCAGAGTAGCTGAGTATGGTACTCATACTCATCCAGCTGATTGAATGGTGTAGTCAAGCCAGAAGCCCTGCTTTTCTGACTCGTGTTCAATGTTTTTTCCTGCTCTTTTACACCGACACCTGAATGACTAAGTAAGAGAAGAGGGTGTTTGTATGCTCAATAGATGTTCTTAGCAACACATCAGCCCTTCTTTGATGGCAGCATTAACGAGAAATTATTTAGGTCTTGTGCTAATGTTTATGATTTCTCAACTTTATTCTCATTCTGAATTGAACTGTTCAGGTGGTAATGTGGTACACTAGAAAGAACATGGCCTCTGTAGTCAAACCTCTAGTTCAGATCTCAACACTGTCAGCCCATAGCTGGGTAATCTTGGGTAAGTAACTTAATTTCTCTGAACTTTGGTTTTTTTAATCTATGGATTAGAAAAAATAATATTTAACAGGGTAATTGTGAAGATTAGGTGAATGAACAAATATGAAATGTCTTAAACCTGGTAGGTACTTGAGAAATATTAGGTCATTTAAACCTGTCCTTCAACACTTGATGACATGCAGTCGGCTACGTCTTTCTAACTGTATTCTGATCTTCATCTAAAGCAGAATTTCCTTAGATTTCTACTAACTGGGCTCATTGTTTCTTAGACTTGAATAATTTTCTCTTTCTGGATACTCTATTATGAGTCTTTTATAATTATTTTTTATGAAATAATATTAAGTGAAAAGAAGTTCTCGAGTTATATCCAAAATGTAAAAAGGGTCAGTTTTAATTTTCTACTATCAAGGCTTTAGTAGTAAAGAAGTTTTTGTCTTAATTATAAAATTCATTTTTCCTTTCCATAACTAGAATATGTATAAGATAGGAAAAGTAATTGCACTGGTTAATAATGGATTATCATTCTTAACAGAATGAAAGACACTTCTGTAGGAATACTCTTTAGAAATAATATCGATTCTTCATAAATAGAAATTGATGCCATTATAGTTCAGGGTTATTTTGTGATTTCTTATCTATTGAAAAGACAATTATATTTCCCCAGATTCCTTAACTTCTTTTACCTATATCCTTTTAAAAAAACTTGTGAAGATAGATGCCGTGAAGTTCATGCTAAAAAACCACACGGTAAGTCTTATTTCTTTTCATTCATGACTAGAATTTTCTGGATAGTTTAGGTAAAGCGTTAGTAACTTTGGATGCTCTTCTGCTTTCATTAGAGTGAACACTTTCCCTTCCTTGGAATCAGTGACAGTTACAGTCTCAGTGACTTCAGGTGCCGAACCACTTTCTACACTGCCCTCACTCGCCTTCTGATGGTGGATCTAGGTAAGGTGAAGAATTGATTCTTAACTTGATTAATAAGGGTTCAACAATATACTTGTGCAGTTAAAGGAGCAGACTACTAGTGAGTACTATATTTAAGTTACTAGAATTTGCCATCTTTGACAGTGTTCTACAACTCCCTATGATTTGGGCATCAGAGCCAAAAGACAAATCTTTGTACTTAAGGTGGTATTTTTCACTTTGAATAGAACCTGCATTAATTCTTTCCCTCAGGATTTGTTTTCTGGGTATCCTTTGATCCATTAATTTTACTGCTATGAATCTAGGAGTAGTCTTAAATACAGAAAAGCTTTACACACAAAGATTTTCTTTGTAATGACATGTAATCTAGAGAGAAACTGGAAGTGATGTAAATATCCAGCAATAGGGAATTGTAAAGTTAAAGCACATCTACTTACTTGATGGAGTAGTCTGTTGTCATTAAAATCAGGATTTGAGGGCAGTGCAATACATGACATTTTATAATATTAAGTGAAAAAGCTAGCTGTTAAACTGTGCAAATGATATGAGCATGCCTGGGGTGTGGGTGGGGAATGCATCCAAAAAAGACTTAAATGAAATTATTTAAAAATGTTAAATGTTGTTTTGTGGTAGTGACTTTTTCTCACTTTTGATTATTTGAAATTTTCTTAAGGGGGTACTTTTATAATGGGAAAAAATATAACTTCTTTAAAATTTTTTTCCACTGAAAAGCTGAAGTTAGCTAGACATATCCACAAGTAGACAGTACCTGAGGATGGGCACTTAAGCCTCTTTGTGGTGACTATATTATGCTGGGTTCCCATTTTCCCCCCATGTTTGAATACTGCAGGTTAAATTAATCAGTTTATAGACACAAGAAAGAGTTCAATGATGATATCATCCTTAGAGAATATAATACTGATGATACTTTTTTCATCCTTTCCCTTGCAATGTATTGATTGATCCATCAACTTAAATATGAATTTTTTAAAAACATGATCATACAAAAGGAAAAAGGATAATTTTCTTTTGCACATAAAAGACATTGCTCCTTGTAATAGAAAGGTGACTAAACCACCCTCTGTTCCACATCTGTATTATTTTCATGCATTTCAACAGAATAAATTACCAGAGAGACAAACAGCCAAAAGTTGAGAGAAATGCATCTAGAATGATTAAGGAGCTTGGTGGGATTGATTTCTAAAGAAAGATTAAAAGAACCATGTATGTATAACTTGGCTAAGTGACAACTAGGGCTTGAGGCAAAGAGAACTGTCTATAAATATTTGAAGAGTGTAAACCAGGCATGCAAAACCCAATCATCTGCTACCTTAGGCAAGTGGGAGATCTGAGTGACAGCTTTGCATACTGCACCCTGGTCTGTATTACCTCTTGGCTGCTGCAGTGGAGAGAAGAGGAGTGGCCTGACTCTTTGTCCTCAGTAATCACTGAGAGAACACACTGTGCTGGGAGCTCTGAGGCCAGGACAGAAACCAGCCAGGCATCCAGGCCCCTGCCCTCAAGAAGCTTGACCTCTTGCTTTCCTCCCAGTTGTCCAAGCATTAAAGAAGAGTTGTCTAGACCTTTGTCTAGACTGAATTTATTTCCTAAAGCCTTAAAAATGCTCCTTAAATGACCCTGTCATCTCAGACAGTGAAAGAAGTGGGGAGACCAGAGTTAAAGAGAACTAAATGGAGGAGATTTCCTAGAAATAGGTTCATGTCACACACATTTTCAGGACCTGGAAATGGAGTGGGTCAAGATCCTTTCTCATATAGTCATCATAGACAAAAGAACCCTCCATAAATCCATGGTAGCTTAAACAACAGGACAGCACTACCAGTATTCACAGCACGCCCGCACTTACCATTGTGGTGATAACTGAGAGTCATGATGGTGCCCAGAAAGACCCTGCATTACACGCTGCCACTTTGAAGACTACTTTTATTTAGTATCGCTTAATGTAAACTATGAGGTATGAGAAGCCCAAGTAAAATATATAAATTTGAATAACTGAAAAAGGATTTTCCTAGGTTTCTCAGGGTTTAGATTCCTTTGAATTACTTAACCCATAACAATATATAGTGTAAATTTTTTTAGTTCACAGTTTTTCAAAATGGTAAGTACCCACTGTGTTGCAAACACGTTTTAGATAGCTTGGGAGAAGTAGAAACTGACTATGTGGAAGTGCCTGGTACGTGGTAGGCACTCAATACAAGGAAATTGAATCTGGGTATAGATAAAAACAATGGCAACTACAGTCATGGAACTTTAACATTGTTCGAAAAGAAAGTCCTTATTTGTTAGTGGTTTTCATTTTTTGAAAACTTAAATGTATATTATAAGCATCAAGGGACAATTTGTGGTATATATTAGCAGAGCTTCTATTCCTTGTTAAGAACCAGAGTTGCTCTTCTTCCCAAAATACATTGAGCTCCTTCAGGGCATGGACTTTGCCTTTTTCATGTTTTCTAGCACTGATCTCCTATTGCTACATTGTAGTTGCTCAGTAAATATTTAGTGAATGAATGACACATAAGTATATTGCAACCAAGATGCCATCATCATGGTTCCTGGAATCAGCAATTCCTTCCAGGTTCTTTCTGGGAGTAGCTTTGATCATTGACCTCTCCAAGACAAAACAAATCAAGTGGCTGACTACTTTCACAAGTGATCAGCTACACTTGGCCCCTCTTGTGCTCGATTAATCGCCTGTTGCTCTCTGTTCAAAGTGTTACTACTTTATAGATGATCATTTGTTGAGTGTTGCTGAACACAGTTTTATTATTTGAAGCCTTGTCTCACAAACTAGGTTGACTGGAACGTAGCTGCCAGAGTTCCTGTATGTGTGGCTTTATAGTTTTCTATTGTGTATTCACTGTCATGGAAACAAAGAAAAAAAAAGATGGTGCTATTGTCAAAAGAAGCACAGATCCATGTATCAATTGAAAGAGGTAAAAATATTAGGTAATGAGAATTCTTCTCAAAGAAAAATTAGAGAAGAACTTCTTATATCACTGACTTTTTTTTTTTAAATCAAATAGAAAAAACACCCAAGCAACCTGCCTGTGAAGCATGAGATGTAATTCTTGGACTGAAATATAAAGCATATTCTAATCGAATCCAACAAACTAAACTGAGTATGTTGTATATGAGCCATACCTGCACATTGGGGTGATTAGAAAAGGGGAAAGAAATTGGGTGTCACATTAATTGGTGTTTACTTTGAAATGCATTTTGGTTTCTAGTCAATTATTTGTACTTTGAATGAATTTAATTAGATGCTATGTGCCCCAGGTTGTATTTCAGATGAAAATGGGGGTTTTTTGGCAATAAACTGTTGTACCATTTTATCAAATTGCTCCTTGGCTACACTAGATGAAATGTTCGCTTGTATAAAGAACAGAATTGAAAGCATTTCATCATCAGAATGATGGTATTTAATGTTGGCAATGTATTTCTGTATTCTAAGAAATTATAAAAATTAATGCAAAAACTCTCTTCACAACATAACATACATACAGAAGAAAATGGGTGGCCATCCATATGTGCACGCATGTTAGCCCTTCCAAGAATCACTTAAAGTTCCCTAGGTTATTTTTAAATTAACTTTGTCAATCTAATAAACTAAAAGAAAGATAATATTACCCAAGCCAGTAAATGGAGACCCTCCAGGGAGCTGTTCAGTATAAAATACTTGAATAAATAAAACCTTCTATTTTGTTTAATTTGAATAGAGGTGAATTCAGTTGACAAATATTGGAGAAGGGAAGTGTGGAAAAGAACTACAACAATGCTCTTTGTTTTGTGGAATACTGAATATTATTCATTGCAAATTAAGTTTTTACCAACCACAAACTTAGAATTACTCAGTGTCACTAAAGTTGTTTTTCCTTGGTGTCACTAACAGTTGCTTTTCTCGGCCTTTTTATGATTGAACCTTATCTTGAACTACTCAGATGAGAAGCATGTTGCTAGGATCTGAGTGAGCAGTGTTTTCCTCAGATACTCAGACTCTAAGAAAAAGTCCTATCTTGTAATGATCAAGGGACTGTTAATATTAAAATGTTATTTATAGACATTAAGAGATATTTTCTCTTTAGGGAGGAGCGTGCTATAATATTCACCTACCTTTGTGGCTTTTAATAGATAATTGGCACCTGAAGATATCCCTAGCTTAAATTTGAGGAATTTTAAATAAAAAGTAAATGACTTGAATAAAAAGGGAAGAGTATTATAGAGATAGCTACTAATGGTAAAAGTAAAAATATACAGAGGAAAGAAACTTTCCTTTTCTTTATTAATAACAACTAACATTTGTTTATAAATTTATAGTCTGCAAACCACTCTCACATTATTCTATTTGATCCTCACAACAGCCCACGTGAAATAGGTATTATTGCATTGCTTATCTGTTAGAAAGATGAGGTTCAGAGAGACTACATGACTTGCCCAAGGTCAGTCATATAACCTGTAGCCCTGTGACCACACATTCACTTGTACTACACTGTTACTTCACCTTTTTATATTCTCAATCAATTAGGAAAGGTAACTTTTTCTTTTTTCATTTTTATTTGAACTGTTTGGACTGAATGATTGATTTGAGGCTTGAGGGCAGTGAGAAGAAGGGAGAAGGGATTACTTTCCAAGCTTCTATCAAATAACCAGATAGATTCATGTTTATTATTTGCCCTATATAGGTATATAATGGTTCTCTGGTCAGTGAAAGTCAAATGTAGTTTTTTAAAATTTGTCCTCATGTCCTAATAATTGGCCAAAGCATATTTATCCTCATGGATAAAAAGAAACAGAGGTAGATGTCCCAGAAGGGTTTAGCAAGTGAGAAGCTTGATCAGAAATAACTAATGTTCTGATAGGAAGAATACATCAATATATCACCTGTGTCCATGACTTGGCAGAGACTATCTGGAAAATAGACATGGGGGGCGGGGGGACTGGGCAATAAGGGGTAAAGAAGCAGCTGGAAATACTTAGAATCTATAATGAGATAATTAAGACTA